GGTATGAAAAAATTCACGTACCCTGGTAATGTGCATTAAACATAAGTTTCTTCTTTAAATAAATTAAAATTAAAATCTTTTATCAATTATGGCTAGTAAAAATAAATACAATATAATTTGTATTTTGATCATATTTCTACAGAAAAAACTGCATAATTTTCGCAAGATAAGCTATTTGTTCAGCTGCACATGTCTCTTTGCTTTAGGTGAACACGACTTTGGAATATTGTTTATACACGTGTAGAGTGGTATAGTGTCACCTTTAGAGGATGCATTACTGCTGATAATTATTCCTGACAATGCTTCATTTAATACCTGCGGCACGACTAGTCAGCATGACAAAAATAAAAATACAGGAAAACAATGAAGTGAAGTGCTAATTTTTCTTCGGTAACCCAATGAAGTTGTAGTTTAGTATAAAAAATAATCTTATATATTATTCTTGTTAAAAAATAATGAGTTCCCTGCTCTAGTCTAAATGAAACGCTTTTTGTTTTCAATTTCGAAATAATATATTTCATTTTTTATGTATTTAATAGTAATATTGAGTACATAAAAACATATATCCTGTTACTTTCCTTCTATACCGTAGGCCTAGATGATAGATTACCATGTATATATTTTTATGTTGATCTGGTGCTGTAAATCTAAATTTTATGTTGTTGCGTGTTGAAAACTGCTTGACTCTGGGCTAAATGAAAAATATTTACTAGTTTTTGAACATCTATTTGGCAGAGATAAATATTTTGATAGATTTTTTTAAGTAGTAGGGGGAATTAGTTTACCATCATTTGATGGTAAATTTAATTATTAGATAATCTAAATAATATGTTTAAAATTAATAATTGTATTTATATGAAAGTATTTTAAAACGAGAAATCTGTTAAAAATTAAACAAATGATTCAATATTGTTATTAATCGGATGACATTTATGACTTTTTATAAAATTTTGACAATCATTACGAATCGAATCTTTTAGTGAGAGATATTTTTTTTACTTCTCATGCTACCCGTGACGACGCCATCTTGTGGCGGTAGTTCCGTGACACTCAGCTCAACAATTTACTGAAGAGGAAAAAGTAATACAACGCCAGTATGGAAGCTTCGCTTCAAAAACTTTCGCTTCGCTTTTTGTTAGTATTTTTTATTTTTTTTGTGGCCAAAGCCTTTAAACAAGCGGCAACACTTTATACACTTTTGCCACCCGCTGAACTGTCAATAATATTTGATGTATTTCCATATCAGTTGCGTACAAGTTTATCTAATATATTTAATTAAAATTATTATTTTGTGGAATATTAGACTTCAATAGTTATTTCCTAAAATTTATATTATTATTAATAATAAATGTTTTTGGTTATTTAATCAATATAATTCTAAAATTTCCAATACAATGATGATTATATTTTTCTGATTATTACACCATGTTGACGCCTATGAAAGATCGAGCAGTTCCGTATGGGTTTCGTATTATTAGCTGTGTTAGGAAAATTTGAACTCTAAGGTTGATGTTCTGGAAATTTTAAATACAAGTGACGTCACTTTGTATAAATCGTGACGTGCAAGTGTTTTACTTTGAAAAATGGCATATGTGATTATTGGAAGTATGATGCTGTTTATCAGTTTCATTTTCATCTTTATGACACAGTTTACTTTTTCTACTTGCGAGTTCTTTTATTGCTGCTCTGGCTGTTACTGTTTTCTAGATGGTTGTGTCCACGTGCGGCGTGAATGTTAAGCCTTGCTCCGTAATGACTCCTAGGTATTTCGCTTTTATTTTTCATTCGATGGGATTATCTTGCACTAACAGCTGTTCCTCTGGTGTTCTTTTTCTTTTTGAATAGGATCGCTGGTGTCTTCTCTGAATTGATTGCTATTTTCCATTGGATACACTATTCTTCAATGTTATCTAATGCTGTCTGGAGATTGTTGACAGCTATTTCTAAGTTTCTGTATTTGGTCTCAATCGCCATGATGTCTGCATAAAGGCTGAGCAGTATTTCTAGTGTTCTTGGAACATCTTATTTGTAAGCTCATCTATAAACTCTAATCTTACCTGTAGTACTTTTAAGATTACAAGACTACATGTTGATTTTTCTAATCTGTAATAGCATTTCCCCTGAACCAGTTCTCACCCGAAAACCCGAACAGAGGCACTGTTTGTTTTGGTAAAGTTTTACCGGCAAAATTCTGATTTTATATGTTACGTTATTTAAAAAACATAAATGATGTATCCTCTATAAGTTACTGACTTACTAATACTGGTATTTTCTTATTAATAACTTCCTCTTTCAATATTGGTAACCAGATCCTACTACATTCTGCCGAGGAATTTGCAACACAATTGGCCTCATTTAGCATAATTAGAGCCGCTTCTTTGATTTTTATTTTTTTACCATCCGTTTCTTTTGGGACTACATTTGAATTATTCCATTGAACCCTATGTTCATTATCCCATGCATGTTTACATATTTCAGATATATCAGATTCTCTATTTTTAATATAAGATTGATGTTCTCTTATTCTAACATTTAATGGTCTTGATGATTCACCTAAATAAAACTGATCGCATTCACAAGGTATTTTATAAATGCAATTCTTTGTCCTTTCTTGTTCATTGTTAGGTTTGGTTTTGGACAAAATAGATCTCAACGTGTTTGTTGTTTTGAATGTTGTTGAAATGTTGAATTTATTTTCTATCCTTTTAAGTTTTCCTGATAATCCTTTTATGTACGGTATTGTTATTTTCCTCATATTATTCCTTGTGTATGCTGTAGGATCTCGTTCTAAGTTGTTCTGTTCTATTCAATCGATTGTTGAAAATTCCCTATTTATAAACGATAAAGGATAATCATTTTTTAATAAAACAAAAAAAACATAAATTTTTAATAAAACGAATTTTCGTTAGAATAAGTAATTTTGGCTCTATCGTATAAGGATTTAATTATTCCCTTTTTTACATTAATATTGTGATTTTATTTAAAATTTAAATATCTATTGGTGCGTGTTGGTTTTCTATACACCTGAGTCTCATATCCAGTATCATTTATGGAAGATTTTGAAACAAATATCAATTCTAAACAAAATTTCAAACCCACAGTATGGTGGAGGTATGTAGATGATGTATTCTCAATATGGCCTCATGGATCAGAGTTGTTGGATACATTCCTAAATTATATAAACGATAAAGAAGAGACAATAACATTTACCATGGAAAAGGAATATAATAACACGCTACCTTTCCTGGATGTTTTAATCTCTAAGAACGATACTGATATGAGACGCAGGTGTATAGAAGACCAACACACACCAATAGATATTTAAATTTCAAATCAAATCACAATATTAATGTAAAAAGGGGAATAATTAAATCCGTATACGATAGAGCCAAAATTACTTGTTATAACGAAAATTCGTTCTTGGAGGAGAAACATTTGTAAACATCTGTTTTATTAAAAAATGATTATCCTTTATCGTTTATAAATAAGGAATTTTCAACAATCGATCGAATAGAACAGAACAACTTAGAACGAGATCCTACAGCATACACAAGGAATAATATGAGGAAAATAACAATACCGTACATAAAAGGATTACCAGAAAAACTTAAAAGGATAGGAAATAAATTCAACATTTCAACAACATTCAAAACAACAAACACGTTGAGATCTATTTTGTCCAAAACCAAACCTAACAATGAACAAGAAAGGACAAAGAATTGCATTTATAAAATACCTTGTGAATGCGATCAGTTTTATTTAGGTGAATCATCAAGGCCATTAAATGTTAGAATAAGTGAACATCAATCTTAAAAATAGAGAATTTGATAGATCTCAAATATGTAAACATGCATGGGATAATGAACATAGGGTTCAATAGAATAATTCAAATGCAGTCCTAAAAGAAACGGATGGTAAAAAAAAATCAAAGAAGCGGCTCTAATTATGCTAAATGAGGCCAATTGTGTTGCAAATTCCTCGGCAGAATGTAGTAGGATCTGGTTACCAATATTGAAAGAGGAAGTTATTAATAAGAAAATACCAGTATTAGTAAGTCAGTAACTTATAGAGGATACATCATTTATGTTTTTTAAATAACGTAACATATAAAATCAGAATTTTGATGTTTGTTGAAGGTAAATTAAATTCACGAACAAATACTTACAATGTCGGGATAGTATTGTGAGGTTTTTTTCCTGGTTTTTCCCTCATAATTTACTATGGAATCACTAACAGGAGAATTTTACTGTCATTATGTCATGTGTTTGTCTTTTTAAAGACGAATTACATGCTATGATTTTTTTCTGACGGATATTCTCAAGTTAAAGTTGATTTCATGTAATCGAATGAACTATCTTATAAGTAAAGTCGTCCCAGGAGCGCAACTCAACCATATTGGCAATATCATTTTAAAGTCGTCTACTTTAAAATGCATAATGTATGTCTGAATTGTCAATATAAATGAGTCAGATAAAATTAAATTATTAAAAGAATTTTTCACTATGTAACAAAAAAAAAAATTTGTTTAATTTACTGTTTGTATTTTGAGAACGATTTCCGAAGTTAAAATTGAAACGTCAATAAACGTATTTTTATCTTTAATTGTGGTTTATTCCCAGTTAAATAGTAATTTAAATAGAATGGTGTCAAAAAAATTTACGTAATTATGCAATGATCGTAGAGAGTGTTGACTCTTAAGTAATCTCAGTGTTTCTGTATTTTTTAAAAGCAAAAAAATGAGAATGAGGGGATCATACTCTGCCTTACAGTTTAAAAGAGAGGGATTGAACAATAAATCAACTACAATAAGAAATACTTAGTTCACTACACGTTCAAGTATTAATATACACAGAACAGAGAGTAAAATGGTTGTATATTATAAGAATTTATTCAATATTTTTGGGCTTTGCGTAATGCTAACTTTACAGTGAAAGTAAAGAATTTGAGGTCAAAGAAGTATTTAATGTAAATCGTTCCAATATACTTTTATTCATTACTAGACTTGTTTCTCAAATATTATCTCTTAGGAAAATTGCGGTACCCTCCGAAGAAATCCAGAAAGCAAATTGAACAGGAAGAACTTCTACTGGAACAACACGCCAAAAAAGTAGATACATCTGCTTTCGTTGACATTATAGATTTACTGTCAGGGGACTACCATAGACGAAAAGAAGCAGAAAGGGTGGCGAAGCAGAAAGAACTGAAAATGAAACGAAAAACGGATGCACTAAAGATGGAGGGTTATTCGTATGAAAAAGAAAGGGGGTAAGTGTTCCTTTTTTAAAATTTATTGCTTTTAATTGCTTGGATTATTAAATAAATATTGTATTTACCAAAATAAAGTATAGCTATTATAAACAATGTAATCATTTATTAATTTGTATAAATCTTTTATTAAAATTTCCGTCTTATCTATATACGAAACATTACAAATTATGTAAATCATTAAACATACTTCTAGTGGTTGCTATAACAGCTGAAAATATATAATAATCTGTTCTTTTAATTTTCTAAAAGGTATTTTGCCAATTTGATTAACGAAATATTGAAGCAATCATATTCCAAATGTAAAGCCTAGGTGGTTCACGGATCAAGACTCTACCTTATCGTGTAGGAGATCCTACACAATAAGGAAGGTCTTGAACAAGTTTCACTAAAGTAAGGCTAGTTTCTATATTCCTATTTTGTCCAGTGTCTGACTCAGAAAACAACAATGCATATAGGCAGTGTTGTTTCCAAAACAATGAATACCAAACGTGTAGATATAAAGATTTCTCTTGCAATAGGCTATTGAAGTTGTGAGTTTGGGAAAAGGCGATGCCTTTTGAAGGTCAAAAGGCCTTGTTCTGCTCGCCTTAAGTGCAGTTCTCTTTCTGACTTTAACTGTCATTTTCTCATCAGTTTCAGCATGGCTTTTTTCAAATAACCTGTCACAGTTGCTGGAAGTGTCTTTTAAAGGGGGTGTAAAGTGCAAGTTAAATTTTTGGCTGAAGATTTGGTGGTAATTTTCTTTCACAGGATTTATGTTCTCACATTCACATTTTTCTTTGTTTAAGTTATACATTTTTTAATATTCAAATCTGGGCTTAAGTATATTTTGTTCTCATCGTCCTTTCTTGTATAGTGACTTTGGTAGCAGGGTAATGACTTTATATGGTCAACAACATCCGAGTCGTCAATTTTATGCGACGCTGCTTTCCCCTTGCGTCAATAGCGTCAGTTATTTCTGTTTTATATAAACATCTGTATAATCTTCCTTATTTTATTTGTAACATGGTAAGAACGTAGGTCTTACAAACCCTCAGTTGATTATTATGTTTATTTGGAATAACGTACTGATATATCTTTGATTTTGCTTGTCCTGTTCCGTCTCTTATCCGACGCCTACTGACAGTAAAGCCCCGCGAAAACAGTTTTGTTTTAAGTAATCTGCCAGTTTCCAAAATGAATTAAAAAAAAGATTTTAATATATCTTCAGAAGAGAACTTCTCATGGCACTTTTTAGGGTGTTTACAGTCATATCCAGAGAGAAATATCTTCACTTGCATTACCTTATTACTGCAATATGTGTACTTTTTACCGCTGTTACGATTGAACTTCTTTTTGTTAACTTCCCAGTTTTCAAGGTACCTCGGAAAATCTCTACATTTTCCCAATCTAAATGGACAGGGGGAGGAATAATGTTGCTGTTAGCAGAATCCGAGACAGGTACGATGTCACCTGGAGTCTCCATCCATCCTTAAAACAAATTAAATTGTAAAAAATATTTTCCCATACAAAAAATATCTATAAGAGCGTCAAGAGAAACAAATATAGAGAAAACTTTCCGTTCCTAAATATCTTGCAGTATAACCAATTTCTTTTAAACTTGATTTTTAAACTCTTTTAATTTGATTTTATCGTCCGCTGTCATCAAGCATTAAAATATTCTCTTTTATGCTTTAGCCATAGTTAAAAACTTATTGAAATGTTACGAACATGCTCCGACCAAGGGCGAAACTTCGAGTCAACCCTTTTCCAAAACGTTTGTAAATTTATTGGTGTCAATAAGACCAGAACGACACCCCTGCATCCTCAATCAGATGGAATGGTCGAGAGAATGAACCGAACGATGGGTAAACACCTGTTCAAAGTTGTATTAGAACATCAAAGAGATTGGAACCAGCACATTCATTTATTCCTAATGGCCTACCGCTCTGCAATTACGACATTAAGAATTTGGCCTTACCCAAGATAGTCCATGCACTAGATAATCTGGATTGGAAGATTGTCAGAAGCATGCTTGAAGTGATCTTCCGAGAAACCGGTGTAAAAATTACTGTGTGTTGCACTAATCCGAAGAGATCGTGTCCTTCAAAGACAGTAGACTGTTATTTCTTTCTGAGGGGTTCATGCAGAGCTGGAGAGTCCTGTAGATTCCGCCATCCTGGGCCTACATATAGTGTTGCTGATCGGGACGCAGTGTTACAAACATGCTTTCAGCATGGCCCATGTAACGGTTACATCTCGAAACGGCTTCGAGAACCATCCCCAGATCTCTCGAACACAAGAGAACAATCGGTCACGTACGCGAATTAGAGGTGGGAACTTTCTAGAACATAGTAACTTTGGTATATATATATATATATATATATATATATATATATATAAGGATCACTCAGACGAGTGGTGGGGTCTATCGGTCTCAAGGTGGAGAAATAAAAGACAAAGTTGATAGGCTACTTTATCTGTTTTGAAGAGGTTTCGCTTTCGTATTCTGAAAGCATCATCAGTTCATCTAAAAAGTACAATAAGAGAACCACACAATCATGGAAACGATGTTATAAATGTTACCTTAAAAAGACATGTAGCAGTTAAAGATATTAACAAGTATGTGAATAAAACTCAAGTAAATGGACATTATACGGTGATATTGTATAAACAATCAAGTAACTAACAACATATAGCAACTTATAAAAAATTAGCACAGCAACTGACCATGTGGTCTAAAGTAAATGAAATATTATATTTAATCTTAAGTAGTGAAAAAGAATCAAGAAAATCGTAGATTTACTTCCAACTATTTGATAATTATTAAGCTTTGATTTTAACTTTAGGTAGCATTACAAGTGATGTTAATAAAAAATTATTTAAAAAGTAGTGTAAATGAAGTTACCGATCAAAGCCTTACAGCTGCCACCGGAAAAATGGCGTTAAACGAAACAGATCGAACTAAACCGTGAAAAGACAGCCAACCTTGAGGTCAAAATTTTTTTGACAGAGCAACAAGGTAGAGGTACCACCCCAAATAATTGGGCGGTCTATTTAAAAGTTTAAATGAGTTTGGATGACAACCCGCTTGTAAGAGACAAACCAATGAAAGAAATTGGTATTGTAATAGCAATTCCTTGCATTAACCAGTCTAGAACTAACAAACAGGAGAATTTCATTCAACCTCATATATAAATAATAACGTTAAATATTATGGCTGGATAATCCGCCACAGGTGATCAACGACAAGATAATTTCCACAGTCCAAGGTAGTGGTTGGACCACAAGGAAAATGATCGTGGTTGGACCACAAGGTTTCCACAAGGACGCCTCCGTTTCAATTTGACCGACAGAACAGTCTTATAGTCAGATAACGGATCACCCTCTAAAAAAAAACAATATGAAATTAGATGTTTACTGTTAATTAAATTAATTAAATTAGGTCAGACTGTGATACACGTTTCAACCAATATGAAACACTTTGAGTAGCAATCCTAAACTAAACTATAACAACATTGTATTTACCTGATCAAATTCGCCTATCGAACACTTTTCACCTGATCCAGATGAAATATCCATTGTATAATACAACTAGCAACAAAAATAATGTATAATCAACTGTCAAAAGCTATAACTAAAGGTTAACAACACATCAACAAACGCTACCCTTTGGTATACTACCCTTTACTACTTGGTTCAATAGTACTCTGATGACAAAAAAAAAACAATCTGTTAGTAAACACCAGAACTTGCTGCTGCCTAGCCGATATTTTTAAAACTAGGATTTGGTTCATTATTATACTGAAAAACTATCTAGTTAGTGCATGTTATAGCGTTAACTCGTAAATGACAAAAAGTGGACTTGGTTCATTTCTATTCTGAACCGTCTATATGTCGCATTAGTAGAATTTTGTAGCAAGAAAGAATTATTCCTTTCTACTGATTTGTCACTGTTTAGTAACATTATAGTACTTCTGCATATACAGAGTGAAGCCAAATTTACCCATATAATATGTTATCCTTAAAGTGTAGTAATTATCTTATATCTTCCGAGTTATCCCAGTTCGCGCTTTCTTTACTCTCCGATTTCTTACTCACTAGGTTTCCCCGTTCCTTTCAAAAATAAGGTGGTGCCCAAAATGTTCTTCTCTTTCGTGGTCTCTTGGTTATCTTACTCGTAACTTGTAGTTTAGCTCTGACGAACCCCGACTAAGACACCTCTACCAAACTGAAGCCCGGACCTTAGTGTCGTTATTTGCGTAATCTTGTTGCCAATTATCAGAGCATTTACCATCTTCCAATATTCGCACTCATCTAGCGTCCAACTTGGTAGGGTACAATAAATAGATAAAAGATGTATGTACATTGTGCCACTACAGCCCATTTATAACAAACAGATTCCAGAAAAAAATTGTGGCTTTGACACAGATTCTAAAAAAACTATCATTAAATCTTTCAAGGTCTCTCCTTCTACAATTTTTATTTGAACGCTCTAGTCATTTTAATCAGATTGTGTTTCTTTTTGAATAGTAAAAAGTGTCATAATATATCGATTATTACTGTTGCTAGGTTCGTTTGTTTAAAACATAAAAACCGAATTTGTGACAATAATTAGTTTAAGTTAGTAATTAGTGAATGTAAAAAATGGCACTCGTTTCCAAATAATTACTTGACCGCATCACCGACAACTCGTTATTATTCGAACAAATGTTTGTTAAAAAAACTTATCTATTATTCTAATCTGTTATTATCTTTCACTGAGATGAATAAAACATACGTAATAAATAGACTTCAATTAAAACAAAAAAACAACCTAGCATAACAAAAATGGTTAGAGCATAGGCGGAATAATTACTGTCGACCCTGAACCTTAATAAAATAGGTAATCGAGATGATTTAATAAATAAATGGCTGTTAGTAACGGCAGATTATTCAAAAAATTGACAAGTTGTGCTCAAATTAAATAAATAGTTTAACATTTATGGTTTATTTGTCTTTTTTCAAAAATAGAAAATATAAATATGGTCTATACCTATATAAAATTCTAGTGTCACAGTGATAGTTACTAATCTCCTCTGAAACAGCTCGACTAGTTTTTATGAAATTTTATATCCATATTCGGTAGGTCTGAGAATAGGTTGTAATCAATTTTTTATACCCCTAAGGGTGTCTACTCCAAACATTTTTGGATACAATTTTTTATTTTTATATTTTTATGACGTGGCATTAAACAATATAAACTCTTAACTTTCACCCTTCTATCACTAACCTCTATGTTTTAATAGCCTTATTAGTAATTTAATTATTTTAAACGTGGTCGATAACTAA